AAAAGCTGAACAGAAGATTTCAAAGAGCAGTTTGAGCAGACAAAACCAATTACTATAATGAAATGTGCCAAGACCTGGAGTTAGAAAACCAAAAGGGAAGAACATGCTCAGCATTTCTCCTGCTGAAAGAACTCAGGAAAAAATTTAAGTCTTGAGTTGCAATATTGAAAGATTCTATGGGCAAAATAATAAATGATGCAGGAAGCATCAACAGAAGGTGGAAGGAATACACAGAGTCACTGTACCAAAAAGAACTGGTCGATGTTCATCCATTTCAGGAGTTGGCATATGATCAAGAACCAATAGTACTGAAGGAAGAAGTCAAAGCTACACTGAAGGAATTGGTGAAGAACAAGGCTCCAGGAATTGACAGAATACCCATTGAGATGTTTCAACAAACAGATGCCCCACTGGAGGCACTCACTCAGTCATGCCAACAGATCTGGAAGACAGCTACCGGACCAACTGACTGGAAAAGGTCCATATTTGTACCCATTCCAAAGAAAGGGAATGTAACAGAATGTGGAAATTGTCAAACAGTATCATTAATATTGCACACAAGTAAAATCTAAAAGATAATTCAAAAATGATTGCAACATATTGACAGAGAACTTCCAGAGGTGCAAGCTTGATTCAGAAGAGGACGTGGAACAAGAGATATCATTGCTGATGTCAAATGGATCTTGGCTGAAAGTAAAGAATACCAGAAAGATGTTTACTTGTGTTTTATTGACTATGCAAAATCATTTGATTGTGTGGATGATAACAAATTATGGGTAATATCGAGAAGACTGGGAATTCCAGAACACTTAATTGTACTCATGAGGAACCTGTACATAAGACTAGAAGGCTGTCATTCAAACAGAACAAGGAGACACTGCATGGTTAAAAATCAGAAAGGGAGTGTGTCAGGGTTTATTTCATCATACTTACTCAATCTGTATGCTGAGCAAGTAATTTTGAGAAGCTGGACTATCTGAAGAAGAACATGGCATCAAGATTGGAGGAAGAATCATTAACAACCTGCAATATGCTAATAATACAACTTTGCTTGCTGAAAGTGAGGATGACTTGAAGCACTTACTGATGAAGATTGAAGAATACAGTCTGCAGTATGCATTACATCTCAATATAAAGAAAACAAAAATCCTCACAACTGGACCTATAAGCAGCATCGCGGTAAATGGAGAAAAGATTGACGTTGTCAAAGACTTCACATTCTTGGTTCTACGATCCATACCAATGGAAGCAGCAGTCAGGGTATCAGGCGACCTATAGCACTGGGTAAGTTGGCTGCAAAGGACCTCCTTTAAGTGCTGAGGAGCAAAGATGTCTCCTTGAGGACTAAGGTGCACCTTACACAAGCCATAATATTTTCATTCACCTCATACGCACATGAGAGCTGGACAATGAGTAAGGTACACCGAAGAAGAATTGATGCTTTTGAGTTGTGGTGCTGGTGAAGAATGCTGAAAGTACCATGGACTGCTAAAAGAACTAACAAACCTGTCGAAGAAGTGCAGCTAGAATGCTCCTTGGAAGCAATAATGGCCAGACGTCATCTCACGTACTTTTGTCATGTTATCAGAAGGGACCATTCCCTGGAGAAGGATGCCTTGCTTGGTAAGGTGGAGGGTCGACGAAAGAGGAGAAGGCCCTCAAAGAGATGGATTGACACAGTGGCTTTGGTGATGGGCTCAAGTATAGCAAGGATCGTGGAGATGTTGAGGGACCGGGCGGTGTTTCATTCTGCTGCACATAGGGTCACTATGAGTTGGAGACAACGCCATGAGGGCATCTAACAATAACAACAAAATGCTGAAGAGCAAAGATGTCTTTTTGAAGATTGTTGTTGTTACTTGCCATCGAGTCAGACCCGACTCATAGCGACCCCTCCTTGGGTTTCCAAGGCAGTATCACCATGGAAGTAGATTGCCCAACCTTCCTTCCGAGGAGTGAGTGGTGGGTTTGAACTGCCAGCCTTCTGGTTAGCAGTCAAGTGCCTTAGGCATTATGCTACCAGAGCTCCTCTTTGAAGATTAAGGTATGGCTAACTCAGGCCATTGTATCTTCAGTCGCCTCATATGCATATGAAAGCTTGACAATGAATAAGGAAGACTGAATAAGAATTGATGCTTCTGAGTTGCAGTGTTGGTGAAGAATACTGAAAGTATTCTACACAAAAACTTACTAGGTGAGCGAAGAGTAACGCTGTTCTGGCGTAGTGCCATAAAAAAATGAACATATCTGTCCTGGAAGAAGTGCAGCCAGAAAGTTCCTTGGAAATGAGAATGGCCAGACTTTGTCTCCCCTACTTTGGTCATGTCAGAAGGGACCATTTGCTGGAGAAGGATACCATGGTTGGTAAAGTAGAGGGTCAACAAAAAAGGGCAGGCCCTCAATGGAGATGAACTGACATAGTGGCTGCAACAGTGGGCTCAGGTATAGCAAGGATTGTAAGGCTGGCACAGGACTGGGCAGTGTTTAATTCTGTTGTACATAGGGTTGCTATGAATTGGAGCTGACTTGACGGCACCTAACACAAAAACAACATTATTACACATGACAGCATGTGCACTGAATGAGAGAATAAATGTAAAGCATTTGAATCTGTGTTGGCCATAGAAAGCTCTCAAAATATCTTTTTTAAAAATTAGCTACTACTCTTAATCCGTGCTGTGCAGAGTATATGTGCTATTGGTTAAATTTGGATTTCTAATCTAATCATTTGTGGGAGCTCTGGTAGCATAGTGCCTAAGGCACTTGACTACTAACCAGAAGGCTGGCGGTTCAAACCCACCAGCCACTCCTCGGAAGGAAGGTTGGGCAATCCTACTTCCGTAGTGATACTGCCTCGGAAACCCAAGGAGGAGTCGCTATGAGTCGGGGCCGACTCGATGGCAAACAACAACAACAGCAATCATTTATACCATTAGTAATGTAAGAGTATTTCTGTGTGCTTTAGTCATTTGATCTCAGCAGAGGAAGGGTGATCCCAGTATTTAAAAGGAAATACTGGTTTTGTTACTGTGTTAATTTATGTGGTGGTTTTAATAGAGTATTTATTGAGTGACTGCTATGTGTCAGACACTGTAAGTTACTGTACGTGGCAAAAAGGAGCAGCACACAATCCCTACAGTAAAAGTTTGTAGCTCAGTAGTAGCAGTACTTGGGGTGATTATAGATGTAGATTATAGATGTGGATTATGCTGGATTATAGTTGTGATGATTGGATGAATGCATAAGCGAATCCTGCTCTCTTCTTAGAGAAGCACATGATCCTGGTAGAGACCAGCACGCAATGCAGAGCGTGTAGGAAGACTATGAGCTGTGGGAGGAGGCGTGCAGCTGCCTTGGGCTGAGAGGTTGGCTTCCCAAGGAAGATGCTTAGAGCCAAATTGTCAAACATGAATAGGAATTCAGTGGGGGTAGGATGGGGATGAAGACTCAAAGCAGAGACAGCATATGCAAAGATTGGCCATTTAGGTTTTTTTCTTTTTTTTCCTGCCACAGCTTATTTTTCTAAACTTTAGCCCAATACTGGTTTTAGGATATAATCCTTCCCTACGACTATCCTTAGTACCTTACTCTTATGCAGATAACATGTCTGTTATAGGGATCATAAATGCCCAGAGGTACCCATTCCACAAATAAGCCTCAGCCTGAAGGCACTCAGCTTTCTTGCTCTGAGGGCCAAGAGGCTCACAGCTCTGTTTTGTGCAGGTCTGTTGGTTCTCTTTACTCTGCCGCTGCTGTTTCTCTTCTGCTGCTTGTGGCTTTCTTAGCAAAGTGTTAACAGCTCTTTCTCCAACTCCTGGGTGGAAGAGATTCAGTGCAGGGATCCAGGTCCAAAGGATGCACCGCACTCCAATTTTCCTTTCTTGATGGTAGGGAGATCCTCCTTTCTGCTTCTGGGATGGTTCATTTTAAGCCTAGAGGGATGGTGAAACTGACCAAACTCCACATTAGGGGTCCATACACATTATTTGCATCGTCCCACCCTCACAAGGATGCCATACACCCTGTTTACATTATTAGCAAGCTATTCAGTCCCCTTTGTGGGCCAAAAGCACCTCATATTTGCATAGTCTTACCAAGTCAACTGGTGGGAGTCACAAAGACAGTGACTCGAAGGGCCATATTAAGTAATTTATTTCACTGCAATTGATATGCTGATTTTTTTTTCACATGTTGCTGACTTCAGTTTCTATTTCTGATCACATGGCACCTTAAGGTAGATATTACCCACTTAAATGAATGGAAACAAAATGCAGTTTTGATTGTTTATTTTCCAGTTACTAGGGAGCTCTGGTGGCATAGTGCCTAAGGCATTTGACTGCTAACCAGAAGGCTGGCAGTTCAAACCCACCAGCCACTCCTCAGAAGGAAGGTTGGGCAATCTACTTCTGTAGAGGTACTGCTTTAGAAAACCAAGGAGGCGTCACTATGAGTTGGAACCGACTCAGTGGCAGTGAGTTTGTGTTTTTTTTGGTTTAGAAGACTACCAAACTTGACTTGTTGCTCATGGCTTATACCTCTATTATGCAATTACAAACAGAAGTAACATTTTTGGACTATTTCTGTACACATAAGGGATTAAAGAAAATGAACAGAATTCTGCGATCTACTTGTAATTTGGGAGGACAGGTGAATGGAATCAGAATTCACAAAATGTCATGAGACATATGTGGTATATGCATGGGTGTGCCATGCCAGAATCATTTTAATTTCATCATTTCCACACATTGTAAGTGTAGGTTCATTGTTTACATGAGGATGTTATTAGCAAAAAAATAATAGTACTCTTATTTTCTAAAGATATTTTTCATGGCATTGAGAGGCCCTAATACAGGTATTCTTTCCTTTAGGTATAACTGATTGTCTGTTACTTAAATTAATGTTTCTTGCTGAGCCGTAGGGATACAAGCCTGAACAGATTATAGTCTCTATGGAAACATTCCTAAGAAAACATTAATAACGTTAATTTCTTCTCTCCACAGTATGATTTTAGCTTTGATAAATGACTGAAGCTGGAGAAGCCTTGGGTGAAGTCAGCATACACTACAATGCACAGTTGAGGAGCCAGAGACTACTTACTTAAATCATCCTTAGAACCGTGACCATAGCAGTATATTTTTCCTCTTTGAACAAAAAACTATTTTTGCTGTATTTTTACCATATAAAGTATTTAAAAACTATGAATTGAGTTTTTGTACATTTCTGGTTCTCAACTTTAGCCAAACCCCAGCACGTGATGGTGATTTTTCACCCTCTGTATGTTGAAGAAGGTTATTTGTATGTGGGAGCAGAACTGCCGTTCCAGCCTTGCATGCCAAAGAAACAAAGGACACACCTTAACGGAAAAACTTACTTAGGTGAGCAACGCTGTTCTTCAAGTCTACTGAAAAGCCAGAGTACAAAACAGCACTGTTATCTAGACAAATGAAAACAAAGTTCATTGCCCTTTTTGCCTGTATTGTGGCAGCATCATACGTGTGATGTGGTTTAAAGCTGTATGGAATTGTTAGCTATAAGTCTTTTCACAGAGATGTTAACAGAAAAATGACATTTCAAAAAATATATTTCTTTGCAGAATCTGTGAAACCTTACAAGCCATTTGTCCAAGTACAATGTAATTCCTGCTTATAGAAAGGAAAAATAAATCAAAAAACAAAGTTTTATCAAGAGCTTTTATTTAAAAGTCTCTGTCTCCATGATAACTCTCATCCAAACAATCCCAGTGATTCTTGTCCAAGTCTTATCTTTGTATTATAATTGGTCCAAGTAGTATGTTATCTCTCAGATATACTTTTTAATGGATTTGGAGGGTGATTTGGTAGAAAATGCTCATCAGTTTAGAAGGATGGAATAGACAATACTCTGTCAGTGAAATAGAACCTATTACTGCTCTTCTTGGTGCCAGAGGGAGCTCTGGTGGCATAATGCCTAAGGCATTTGACTGCTAACCAGAAGGCTAGCAGTTCAAACCCACCAGCTGCTCCTTGGAAGGAAGGTTGGGCAATCTACTTCTGTGGAGATACTGCCTCGGAAACCCAAGGAAGGGTTACTATGAGTTGGATCCAACTTGACAACAGAGTTTGGTTTTTGGTTTTGGTGCCAGATTATTGTAACCCTTCTGTCCTTCTGCACCGATCATTTTGAATTGGGAGACCCAATATAAGCCACCTCTTGGGTATAGCAATATCCAGCCAAACTTGGTTCCTTGGAGCTGTATTTTTAAACCCTTGCTGTTGATGATAGCAGTTAACTTATTCAGCTCCATTTGCCAACTCCCCTAAGGTAAAGTGAACCTGGCATTTTATCCTCAGTTCTAGTTTGCGCTTTAATGTTGCGATCTTAAGTGTTGGCATTTAGGCAAAACATGACTGTTTTACGGCAGAGTCCAAAAGTATTTACTTTGGTGAGACGTATTTGAGCAGGTAAACAAGGTGTATGTCACCAAAAGATCAAATTACTGTGTCTTTCAGCCCTGGACTAAGTAACTTTGGCAAAAGCAAGAAACCACTAAGCTAAACTCTCTAGAGATAGACCTATATTTCAAGATGAATGTAGTGCCCTGGAAACAGATTAACAGTGAAATGGTAGGTAAGGTAAACTTTGTACTGTTGGCCTCTTTCAGTTTTTAAATTGCCCCTCGTGATAATCTTGTATTCATTCCACCTAGGCAAAGGGCCAAGAAGCTGTAACAATTACTTTGCTTGTATCTCTTTTCCTTATCATTTCCCTTGGAGGTACATTCCTCTGTCTAAAAATCAATTCCTTCACTCTGCCTTCCCCCTAACTTCCAGGCCCTGTTCATGTTCCGCTCAACCTTTTAAAGCAGTGTAGCCTCTGGAGAACTTAAATTCTTAGAACTGAGAGACAAGCAAGCTACTTAAAGGGGCCCAAAAGTGGTAGAGGACTTTTGATCAAAATGTTTAATCCTCTCATGCAAGTATTCTTTTTTTTTTTTTTTTTTTTAATTGTTATTTGGGTGAGGATTTACAGAACAAATTCACTGTCCATACAGCAGTTCACATACACTTTGTCTCATGTCATTGACCACAGTTTACCACAATCATGCAAGTATTCTTAATAACCAAAATAGAAACTCATGTCAAGGAGAGAGCCTTTGGGCTGTCAGGTCACATTTTGTCAGGCATACGTTGCTGAGACCAAGGCATCAGAAATGTGCCTTATTTTACAACAAAGTAAAGAAGCTCTTTACCTCTGATGCACTAACTGTGGTTAAAAACAAGCAACCATTCTTTCTTGTATTGCTTTATATAGCCAAGTCAGGAAAGAGGATAACTAATTTTTCTCTTTTCTTTTTAGAGACTCTTACACAAATTATGGAAAGGGGCGAAAGTAAACATTGACTATAAAAGCTGTGCTTAAGATGCTGAAAGCTCATTTTCTATGCTTTTCAGAGATTGGAGAGTTGCAAATGAGGTCATCTGGTCTAAGATAGAGAACTGAGGGGTGAAGAGATTGCCTGAGGTCTCATAACTAGGGGCATCTTCAGTCCTGATGTGTATGTAGTTCAGTGCTTTTTTTCTCATCACTCTTTTTTGTTTTCTACTTTTTATTGTGATTTGGGTGTAAGTTTACAGAGCAAATTCATTTTCCATACAGCAGTTCACATAAACTTTGTCTCATGACATTGACTGCAATTTCCCACAATGCAATAGCTCTCTTCCCACTTCCTCCACATTGTTAACTCTTCCCGGTGTCCTTCCCTCTCATGCACTCCAGCCCCTGAGCTGTCTCCCTGTGCATACACAGCCCTTCTATTCTCCCTTCTCCCATGATTGATCTCTCCAAGGAGTGTATCTACCTAATATAAATGTTCATATGCCTGTCTTTTGTTTGGCTAGAAGGCACAGGAGTGGGTTCAGTTCCAGACATGAAGGGCAGGTCTCAGGAATTCCATCAGGCTCTATCAGACCAGCAAACTTGGTCCCTTTTTTTTTTTTAAATGATTTTTGAGTCTTGTTCCACATTGTTCTCCCACTCTATCCAGAATCTCCTGCATAGATCCCCCTCCGAGTGATTGACAGTGGTAGCTGGGCACCATTTAGTCCTTCTGGTCTCCTAGTCATATAGGCTGAGGATCGCATGGTGTACCAGTCGTTTGGACAAATTGATTTTATGTGTCTTTGGTTTTCTTCATTCTTTGCTCTGTACGAGGAGAGACCCTTTGTTACCTCTAGATGGCTGCTTGCAAGCTTTTAAGATCCCAGTTGCTAATTGCCAAAGTAGGATGTGGAACAATGTTTTTGTGTAGTATGTTGTGCCAGTTGAGCTTGATGCTCCCTGTGACCATGGTTCCAAGCCCACAGGTCCAGCTACTCGCTTCCTCTGGGTAGCTGGTTGTTCTTATCACTCCTTTTAAGGGTAATAATATTCCCTGTCCCTCAGAAAAGGCAGCACCCAGGGCCCAGTAGGTACAGACCCCCAGAGGGTGCTCCTGTGGGCATATTTTTATCTCTTGTGCATTGTGTCATTTTCCCTTGTCCCTCCCTTCTTTCAGTAGTAGAAGGTACTCTTTTTAATTACTGGAATCTCAGTTGAGTGAGCTGAGGAAGTAAGATCTAAGATGCTAAAACTGAGTGACTTAATCACAGCCTAGCAGACTTCCCTCAGCTACCTTTTATAACCACAGATGACAGTGTGTCCAAATCTGCTTCCTCTGACCTGGTCTTCCTTTGAGTGCTGGCATAGCATCCCATAGTACTTTATCTCCTGTGGCACTTACCACTTCCTGTCTGGTATTATAGGTATTTGTATTCATTTAATCTCCTCTAGTAGATTGTACGCTCCTAGAGGGCAGAATACACTCTTACTCGTATCTGTACCTTCCTACTGTTCCTGGCACCTAACACAGTGCCTTGCACATAGAAACAATAAATGACTGTTGAATGAACAAGCAACTCTGATTGTGGCATTCTGCTGCTCTTTTAGCAAGAAGTCTAGGTGATGTCCTTTAAGTCAGAGGACAAGTTGAAGTAGCAGTGGAGCAACATAATCAAAGCCCACCATCTTTGTTTGCAAGGCATTGACAGGAAATGTTCTAAGACACACTAGGCTGGGAAAGGAAGCTGCTGTATTTGATTCATTTGAGACTTGTTACATCAGCTTTGCTCACAAGTAATATTTGTCTGTAATTGTGAAAAGTGTCATGTCCTAGATTTAATTAGTTGTCCCAAAAATCTAACTTAAACTTACTCTAATATATAGAAGTAGGCGGGAACTCTGGTAGCGTAGTGCCTAAGGCACTTGACTGCTAACCAGAAGGCTGGCGGTTCAAACCCACCAGCCACTCCTCGGAAGGAAGATGGGGCAATCTACTTCCGTAGTGATACTGCCTTGGAAACCCAAGGAGGGGTCGCTATGAGTCAGGTCTGACTCGACGGCACATAACAACAACAACAACAATAGAAATAGGCAGTGAGATAGGGAAGTTTATTATGTACTTTTCTAGATCTTATTATCTGAGTTTATGTACATTAAACCAAATATACTGTTTTATTATGTGGTATAACAAAGACTGATATACTCTTCAGTGAGGCTGTTTAAAGATTGGGCTATTTTGGCTTTCTGAGGTTTTGCCAGTGAAGCCTTTTGGTTTTATGCCATACTTTTTGTGAAAAGTCCTGAAAACAGTAGCCTTTTTTTTTTTTTTTTGCTTTGGTCAAATGAATATAAATAATCTAGTGACTGAGGATCATTCAAAATGTTAGGGATATCATTCTGAACTGTGGTAATCACAAATCCCCGCCACTGTCAGGACCAGAGATACTAAAGCAAGTATTCACTGAGCTAACTTGATGCACAGCTCTTCAGAATAAATTCCTTGGTAAAAGCTTCTTCTGTTGTCAGTTGCTTCTCTCTGAAGCTGGGTGGAAGAAGTGAGTGGGTGAGTGATCGGAATCAGCTAGCTAAGAGCTAAGGTTTCACTGTGTCTTCCTCTGCTATGTAGCTTGTTTGGTATGTCCATTATGGAGCAGTCTTGTTTTCATCTCTGTCCCGAGTTCCCATTAAACATTAGAACCTAGTCAACATGTGAGTCATTTTAACACATACTTAAATTACTACTCTCTAGTGGAACACCTTGAGTGTCTGATACCAAAAGGGCACAGAAAAGTTCTGAGTTGCATACTACACCATCACTCTCCAGCCACTGCTTGTTCAGGGTTTGT